AGCGTTCTCCCTCCTTGGGATGCCTCGTGATTACAAAATAGGAGAAAGCGCCACAACCTGGCACCTCCTTGATGGATTAATTTTTAAAAAGCAGTAGGTCAGCAAATTACTCCATATCACTACTTGTAATCCATACAAAACTGAGGCAGCACCTCCCCTGAACTTCAACGGAGCAAACCTTGACGAGTGATAGAGACAGCACGCAGGCCAGCTGTTGACACAGCAAGATAATGATGATCCTCTTGGATTTTTCATGATGAGACTGCGTTTGGCAGTCAGCCAAGCAGCAACTAAGGAGACCATTTGAACAGTTTGGTTGTCACGTCAAAAAAGCAACAACAGGATGTCCAACGCTCAGCTCTCTCCCAAGCAACATGAGATTTCGGTAAAAATCAGTGTATTTGAAGGGAATTTTGCTGCTATGACATCTCTGTAAAGCATCCTTAGGATTTGGTGACTGCGTGCTCTCCTCCTCACCTTCACAGTCAGAGGAAAGTATTTTGAGATTGGTTCAGAGAAGCACCTCAAGACGAAGAGCACACAAGGTCCCTCACAAAACAAAGTATTTCCATGGCAAGGGATATGCTGGCCCCTGGCAAGGTAGACTTCAAAACGAACGAGGGCAAAACCTGTCAGGTGTCACAAAGACAATCCAAATAGGATATTCAGACTGCTTGTCCGAGTTGGATCCTGGTCACGTTGGGCTAGCTGTGCTCTCTGTCTCGATGACTGTTTTTCTGACATCGGCTTGTTTTCAATCAGGATTTCCTGGCCTGGCTGTTCCGCCTCTGTCCGTGGTACTTATCCATGAAACTTCCCGTCTGTCAGGTGCACAGCTCTGTGTCGGGAATGAGCATCTGCCCCAGCAAGAGACCTAGGAACTTCAGCGGTAGGTAAAAAAATATTTGCAGTTTGCCCTTAAGAACTATTTCATAGAATCATAGAATGGTTTGGGTTGGAAGGGACCTCAAAGATCATCTAGTTCCAACTCCCCTGCCATGGGCAGGGACACCCTCCACTACATCAGGTTGCCCAAAGCCTCATCCAACCTGGCCTTGAACACTTCCAGGGATGGGGCATCTACAGCTTCTCTGGGCAACCTGTTCCAGTGCCTCACCACCCTCTGAGTGAAAAATTTCTTCCTTAGATCCAATCGAAATCTCCCCTCTTTCAGTTTAAAGTCATTGCCCCCTGTCTTATCACTACGCACCCCTGTCCAAAGTCCCTCCCCAGCTTTCCTGTAGACCCCTCTAAGTACTGAAAGGCTGCTACAAGGTCTCCCTGGAGCCTTCTCTTCTGCAGGCTGAACAACCCCAACTCTCTCAGCCTGTCTCCAGAGCAGAGGTGCTCCTGCCCTTGGATCATCTTCATGGCCTCCTCTCGACCCGGCCCAGCAGCTCCATGTCCTTCTTGTGCTGGGGACTCCAGAGCTGAATGCAGTATTCCGGGTGGGGTCTCACAAGAGCAGAGTAGAGGGGCAGAATCCCCTCCCTCAACCTGCTGGCCACACTTCTTTGGATGCAGCCCAGGACACGGTTGGTTTTCTGGGCTGCCAGCACACGGTGCCAGCTCATGTTGAGATTCTCATCCACCAGCACCCCCAAGTCCTTTTCCTCAGGGCTGCTCTCAATCCATTCTCTGCCCAGCCTGTACTTGTGCTTGGGATTGCCCCGACCCACGTGCAGGACCTTGCACTTGGCCTTGTTGAACTTCATGAGGTTCTCACCACTAAAAAGAGCCACAAGAGTGTTTAAGGCTTGTTCTCATTCAACTTTGGAAGTTACTCGTTGCCAAGGGATATAAGATGATCTTGATTCTCTTGCAGAAGGCAATTCTCCCTCTGACCAACAGCTCTGACACACCACCTGAGTCAGGGCCAAACCGGATTATCACAAGAACCATGACCACAAGTGCTCCCGTTAACTCCCTCAGACCTGAAATGACTGCCCGTGATTAGTCACGGATTGTGTGCTAAGCCAGTCAGGCAAGCTGTCAGGATGGCCTTCTGAAGACATCTGATACTGGTGGCACCTCTAGACCATGTGTATGCTTCAGAGACACAGTATGGCATACACATGTTGGGTTTGGTTTTTGTTGTTGTTTGTGTTGGTTTGTTGGTTTTTTTCCCAAGTAATTAATAGAATTCGACTGCTTTAACAGGGTACATCTATCAACAGACACATTTCTACCTCTTCTCCAACACCAGCTCTATTTGACTGCACGACACTTCCTCCAGTTTGTACCACTACTGCCTGTCTTCACATCTGACTCATCACAGCTGCATTCTCTTTTCCTCAGCCCCATTTTGTCCATCCTCTAGCTGAACTAACAAATTTCTTGCTCCTAATAGTTATCATGCAGCAGGAAGAGAACCATCCCTGATGGTCTAATTTCCCTGTAGTGCCCTCCTTTGACAGCAAAGAGGAAGCACCAGTTTTTTTCATGCAATGAGCTGGAGAAAGCACCCATGCTCACCAGCAAATGGCATCTGCCAGACACAAGGACTTGCAAGGCTCACCTACGTTTCAAAGCAGATCGAGGCAGGAGACATTTTTAGTAGGCAAAGCTGCGTGCAAACTCATCTTTCAGAACTTGTACCTTGATCAAATTTTAACTTTTCCCAGGAACGAAAAAAGCACATCTAAACTTGCTAAAATTACTGTCCTTCACTGCAAACGAAAAAAATTTAAGTGATACTTATCACCTTATATTTTCTAACACGTCACTTATTTAAGCAACTGGTTCCAGGATCAATATCAAAGGCACAACTAAGAGCAAAGAAACACTAAACAGCATTAAGTGTCTCATCCAGAAGATGAGAGCAGCAAAACCAACACATCATTACCATAGTTCTCTAGCATTACAACAATTCCATATTACTGATAATGCTTAATTATCCATTTTACTACTTTTTTTTTTTAATATCTTCTCACTACTCTAATGGAAATTTTAAACAAATGCACAATTAAGTTCTTTTAGAAAGGGTGAAAATCAAAATAGCACAACTAAGAATAGAACTGAATGCCACATGCGAGCCAGGAACAAAATGTAATCATGGGACTTTATAGGAACATTTAGGTCAGGCATCTTCAACTTGACTCATCACTGAGCAGCTTAAAACTTCACAGCGACCAGTGAGGGAATCGCTTTGCTCATACAGATCAAAATGGTGTATCACCACCTAACAGGAGCACAAAAAAGACTTGCTTTTTTGGGTGAAAACAGTGCTGTCAGCATTTGCTGTCTGAACGTAACAAGCGTTTTGTTCTCTTCCCGTTAAAATGCAAATAATCCTACCATTTTATTTCAAAAGCAAGGGAAGCGTTCAAATCTGTTTGTTTACTTTTTACACACAGGAGAACAGTAAACCGAAAATCTACTCGTGAATTATTTCCAATGAGTCATTTTCCTACAAAGTCTACTATTCACCACTCCGAGGTCTGGGAGAATGGGGAGGAGGGCTAAATATTATGGTCTCACTTGCTTAACTGAACCTTGCAGTTAATGTACTTGCTGAGAAGCAGAGCTCAGTGTCTTCTCCAGCCATAAAACAAGCTCAGTATCTTAAAATCTGAAGTAGACAGAGGTGTCAGCTTAAAGCCACATGTTTTAAGGCTTCTGGCTATAAAGAAATGTAGTTTTAAAAAAGCAAAATGGCAGAAGGCTAGCAATTTCATGGGGAAAAAAAAAAAAAATCTCAATTCTTTCAAAGCACTAAGGACAACAAATAGAGCGTGGGTGTGTGCAGAGCAGCATCAGGCAACATGCAGGCACCTTAATAAAAGAGATTGTCAACAATACAAGCTGGTTCTTTCTTGGAAGCACTCAAGTAATTAAATGACTCCAGAGAATAAGAGCTTGGGTACTCTTCTCCCTCATTGGCATAACTAAATCAATGAGCAAACAATAACTCAGAACCATCAATAATTCTCTTCAAAAGTTTGGCAAAATTACTTGCTAAAAATTAAGCCTCATCAAAATAAGGTGGGTAGCCTAAATTCAAGAGAAATTAGCTTCCTGGGATTTTGGTAACTGGAAGAATAAAAAACAAGATCAGGAGTAAATATACATAATATGAGAAATATTCATAACTTCTAGAGTAGTACACACTGTGACACAAATTTCCATTTCTGAGCTGTATGCTGAAAATCGGGATATTTGCAATACAGGAAAATGATGGGCTTACACATACAGAAATCCTTTTTGGAAAAAAGGAACATTCTTCTTTGTGTCATTTGAGAAGAGGTATAAAATCAGTTCTTTATGGTTGCGTTACAATGCCTTTTGGGTGTTTTTAAAGCTTTCTACGTCTGGTGTGCATAGCTCCAGTGGTATGAATCAAACAGGACTGAAACCTTGCTCCCTCCTCCTACCTTTTTTTGCTCCTCCCTGATAATTTAGTACAAGAATAACAGGACAACAGGTCTCATCTTTCTAGTCAGCTCCTGCCAGGCAAAATAACCTCTGTCCCTCTACTCCGATTCTCTGTCTCTGAGCATCTTACCTACCTTCCTGCATCTCGAACCAAGCAGATTATTTCCATTTTATGGCATCTGTCACTTGGTGAACACCAGAAAAAAAAATTGCTTTCTCCTTTCCTGGTTTAACGGCATCTGTCACTCGGTGAACACTAGAAAAAAAATTGCTTTCTCCTTTCCTGGTTTAAAGAAAAGTATTTTTTCAGCCTCTTTTGTCTGTCTTTGCTGGAGTCTCAAAGGAGGTATTTTTAGTTTGTATTTTGCTGATTTTTTTTTTTTCTTTTGAGGGGCTATGGCGTTTCATGCATCAATTATTTGTATTGTGCTGAAGATGGTGAGCATCAAATGACAGGAAGGACAAAAGAGCTGGCGTAAGTTTAACCTATATACTGTGGAGTTTGCTCGAGTACGTTAAGGATGCCAACCTGACACCACAGGACACTGAAGCTGGCCTTTCACCTACTTAATGTATTTCTTCTTTGTACCAACACGAAGGAATGAGCCATGTAGTTATACTCTTACCCATCCCTGAATCCTTCTTAGTGCCGTCAGATATGATATCCACGTGATCGCTGTCTACGTCGTAACTGAAGAAGTCATTCAAGTAAGTCTTCGATCTCTGGCCACCAAACACATACAAGCAGCGATTTTTCTACAATGGAAAAACACAAGTATGTCTTTACCAAGCTCAAGAAAGCATGTTGGCCATCTGTAACCATTAACAAAAACATGAATGAATCAAAGAGCGATGGATAGGTTTATCCTGAGTTTAAAATCATGCCTTAACTATCAGATCGACCAATCTTTATCTGGTAAATCTTTTACCTCCATCTCTGCAAAAATTCACAGGGAACAATTATGCAGAACAGCTTATTATTATCAAACTCAATAAAAACTTGAGAATTCTTGACTGGATTCTTTATCTTCTTGATTCTTGAATTCCTGATTTCTCAGTTGCAAGAGCTAAACCATTAAGGGCTCACAGCTTCTCCACCCCAAAAAGCCTCTTACAAATGCAATTTTAAAGACTCCACTTTCACAATCTATATGAAACCACAAACCTGGATCCAACACAGAGTTGCAGGTCAAATAGTGCCCAGGCAAATTTTACATAGTTAACTACTACTGTAGTCTTGTCTGATCAAGCTGTAACTTCAGAATGCTAAAACAGCAATTAATTTTTCAAGTTTAATATTAAAGAATTAACAGTCTCCGCATCTAAAACCCATTAGATCACAACTTTGCTGTTAAAAAAAACAAACCTAAAACCAAACCCAGGAACAAAAGACAGACTGTAAGAGAAACCATCCAGGTACCAGCACATTACTAAACTCAGAACAGGCAAATGGCAATGAGCAAGCCAAGAATAACAGGTTTATTACTTCTTTCAAGTTTGCCAAGCGGAAAATCCATAAGAGGCAGATTATTTTTCTTTCAAATGGTTGAGAAAACAGCAAAGTACCTAAACTTCCATGACCTGTGCTTACGGAAAGCTGTATTCTTATGTTTACCACGGACACGTAATTGAAAAATCCCCTGGAATCTGTGCAGAATTTTGCGTGGCAATAGATTTTTGACCAGAATTTAGAGAGCCATTCAGAACAAAAATAAAATTGAAAACTCTGAAAGCACAGTATTCACTATAAAAACTCTGATCTTTCATTTGAAAGGGAGAGAGAAATAAACTCAGTAAATTGTTCAAACTGGTCAGTTTTCAAGTGGTGGTATCAGTACATGCTTAATTGCCACAATATTAATTTTAATTTTCATCCTTCTCACCCCAAGTCAGAGTTTAATGTCAGCAAAATACCCTGCAGTTCCCATGTTCCGCACTTCAGCAAACGTAGTTGAGGAGCACAACCGGAAAGGCAATTAATTTTTATTTTTTTTTTAAATACCCAGCATTAAATAAAGCGCTACACAGGACCCTCTCCTCCATCCCTTTGCCTTTCCATCAGGCTCTGGATGAAGTGCCCATAATGCCATCTGTGCCCAGCTGTTAACAGCTGCTCAAGACAACAAGCAGCAGCTGGGTGCTCAGCATAAGAGGAACATGAAATCTGTGCATCTCAATACACACCCAATAAGCAGCCAAATTTACCATTCCAGCAGCCACACAGAGTATTTAATAGACCAGAAGCTTCTAAGTTGCTCTACTAAATTTAAACTAAAAAACTTTTTAGATCAAATTGAACCATAGCCTTTGGGTCTATTTACCATTATTCAATTAAAACCAACTGTTTAAAATTCACCTTGCTTTTTACTTGAAATTTTATTTAGTTGAAGTCACGAAAGCTCCAAGACTCGAATTAATACCACCTGCACTTAAAGAAGCATCAGAATGACAGTGAACATAAAATGGAGTGAGACAACAAACTGCTTGGGAGATTAAAGAGCTTCAGACTTGTAAGAAAAACCAAACCCAGATGTTCTCCTTAAAGTCACGCGTCGTGAATCAAAGCATAGTGTGGATACTTACAGAGTGGAACAACATACAGTGTCCTATCCGGGATTGGATATCCTCAGGTCCGGCATTACAGGAATCCTCTCTCAAAAGTTTCCATGTCTGACACTGGCAGTCAAAAGCAAACAACCCGCTGAACTGCGGTTCGCTGGCTCTGCTGTCATCAACACTGCCGTTGCACGTCAGAATTCGGCCCCCGAAGGTATAGATCATGTGTTTTTCAGAATCCATACACATCTGTAAGAACCAAAGGAGCAGTTTTAAGCCAGCACATTGACTTGAACACGCTAAGATTTAGGATTAAACATCCCTCCCCTGCAAGCGATACCTAGAAAGACAGTACTCTGCACATCCCCTGAGCCTCTAATGAACAGAAAAGAATACATGTGTCTTCTCAGTTGACAGGTATTAATCTCAGAAAACAGTCTTTTATTTAAAATGTGAGTCTAATTTTAACTTACTTATTTAATAAGAAAAAAAAAGGGGAGGGGGAGGCTACATGCACCCTTCATCACGTAAAAAACTTGCATCTACCTGCTGATTTTAGGGAAAAACATTTCACCAGGATGACAGACAATTCTGTCAGAAAGTTAAGAAAAAAAATATCGTCTTTGACAATGTTTATGCAAGGGAAAAATTCAAAATCACTGCTAATTTACTGACCACCACTGGATTCAAAACCAGCCTGCAATTTGTTACTCAGATTCCATCCCGAGCATGTATTGACTGTTACCTCCATTATTTCAACATGAAGTAAAGCCATAACCTGGCCAAGAATTTTTGATGAGACTGCAGCAGAAATACGTTTATCCCCAAAGCCTGAATTCAGGTTACGGCACAAGAGATGCATCACAGTACAAATCACACAAAACTCCGTGAATCCAGGTGATGTTTTCAGACACCGTGCAATGCAATGGGTTACAAAACACCAGGGAGAGGGGAAAAAAACCAAATACAACCAAAACACACACACCAAAACACACCAAAAACCAGACAAGATTATAGTAAGACAGAGATGCTACTTAGCAAAGCCGACAGAAAACACTCCTAGTGTGTTACACAGCACATTTTTGTGGAGGTTAAACAAAAATTGCTCCTGCAGTAGGTACTGGGGCACAGAAAGAGCTGCAGATTGGTAAAGAATTCAGGGAGGACATTCTTTCCTAAGACACAGCAGGGGAAAAAGAAACCATTTCAGAAGCAGGCAAACAAGGTACCTACAGTAGCCTTGCCAGCTGCCAATTTACTTTTGCCTGTTCCCCAACACCTGGGAGACTGGTATTGGTTATTAATAGAACAGAAAGACTGATTGGCTTTTCTTCTGCAGACAACACGTACCTAATTTTCAGTGTCAGCAGAAAGGCGTATTGTGCTGGCAAACAGCAGCTTTGGTTACAAAACAGCTAGTACCAATTAAAGCAGTTCTTGGGCTGCTTTACAAATGCATACTGATGTGCTGTTTCTTGGCCGCGCTTTATAAATATCAATAAAGAACAAAATACCTTTATCAAGTACACAAAAGCCATTAAAACACACAACAGAAGTAAAAAAGTGTTTAGTTTATCCTAGGGACAGGTGTGGCTTTTTAAATGTTAGTAGCTACTCCTCTAAGGTGTTTCAATCTCTACAAAGCAAGTACATTCCACAAATTTTGATAGAATCCTGATCCTGGCTGGCCTCATTTCAGCAGCTTGCTTATAGTGTTCTTCCAAAGGTACCCTACACGGCTTTGTGAGTTGTTCCCCAGCGCCTCCTGAGCAGGCAGATCTGCAAACCCAGCTCAACAAGACTGATTAAAACCAGACAAACTGTGCTTTGAGCTTTAATAAAACGTGTCTTAATAAAATAAGTTAGTTTGCAAAGGTTTTTATGATTCTTCTGACTCGATTTGATTAGAATACCAGTAGTCAGTGGCATTAGACAACAAAGCTATTGGAATTTAAGTGAGTGCAGAACACGGCCCTTGTCACCGCTCTGTTACCTGGTGCAGCACTTCTCAATCGCAGGAGGCTACGATCAAAATTGATTCCCAAACATTGAGAACCTGCACTAAGAGTATCAGTGTAGCTGACCTGATGATCAAACACCAGTTTTGGACCTCCATCCGCCGCAGTGTCTTCGCTGAGCAACATCCATGTGTTTGTGTCAATGTCGTAGCGATAGAAGTCACTCTTCAGAGACTTGCTGTTCCTCACGGAGGAATCCAGATAGCGTCCCAGCGTGTAGATCTGCCTTCGTTGAATGTCGATGCACATCTTGTGACAAGACCTGGCACTAGGACCACTCTAGTAAAAAAAAAAAAAGACCACAAAAATACGGAGAATCATGTATTTAATATTGCTTCAGGTAGGTCAATGCACACTCACTCAGGGCAACTACCAGCAACTGGAAATCCTTTGAGAATTCAAGGAAAATCTGTTTGTAATCAGATAAATAGAGGACTGATATTCAAGTATCTATATAACAGGACATTCCATAACCTCTTTGTCCTTCAGAACGACACCTGCAAAAACCTTAACACATTTTTTTACAACTGACTTATGACCTGAAGCCTTTTTGTAAGATTCCTTAGAAAACAGACTGTTTCCTCCAGGAGTGATTCTCAGAAGAGTGCGAAAGCTACTTGAACTTCTAAAATAACAGAAGTTGATGCACATGAGAGAGAAATTAAGATGTCACAGCCTATAAATAACTACATAGGAAGAAGATTAAGAAGTGCTCTAATACAAGAGCCTCTGTTTTATTAATAGGCTGTTTTCTAACAGATCATAACCAGACACTCCCACAAGCAATCATATCCCGTAATGGGTCTTTGAAGGTAACAAAAGCACTCCCTGTCCTTCACAAACAGATATGGCCGTTCCAGCCTCCAACAACAAGAAAGTTTCCCACGGTAAGCAAAACCATCGTTAAGTTCTGATCTTCAAGAGAAACACAGAAAGCCCCTGTCAAATTATTCTGTGCTTATCCATCCAGGAGTGCTTAACTTAAATCACAGAGTAATTTATTCAATGACATTGTGACGATGCTATGCAGTACTGGGCAGTGTCCTTGCTGCTTCCCAAATCTCATTTATTGGAGAGTCTTCGTACACTCATCTTGAAGCATGACAGTGATATTCCTGTACTCCAAAATACTAGAGATCAAGACATACAAAGCCTTATTTGCAAAAGGTTAGATAAAAGAAAAAGAAAAAAATAGCATCATGCTTATAGGTAAAATCTATAGTTTATTTGGCTCTAGTTTGTAAAATTTTGGCACTTCATAAATGAGGATGCCAGTACAAGGCTGGCTAGCTAACTTTGAGAGTATGGAAACCAACATGAAAACCGGTAACATTTCAAGAGACAAAAAAAGGTAAGATGTACGGAATACTGAAGTATGAAAGAAAAAAAAATCCGTTAAAATCTATTGAAAAATAAAGAATATGCAATTAGGCAAAGATGTAACGTAAATCACTGTTTATAACAAGAATTACAGATAAAGAAAAGTAGTCATGCCACCAAATAATCAACACAATACGTGCTATCAAATACTGCCTTTACAGAAAACAAATCTTTGTAATTGTACCGTTTCGTATAAAAAACTGTACTGAAATTATTCCTGAAACTTAAAATACACTGATGGACTATATTTCACCAAGTTGGATAAAACATGAAAGAAACCATCACATTTTTGTAGTTAAAATTTCACTACTCATGTTATAAAGTTCCATTTCTTGTTTAAAGAAGAGTTACAGGGAACTGCTCACAGTAACTCAAACTACAATCTGAAGAGGTGAACTGAATTGTTTGTAGTTTGTAAACATGAAGCATTACATCAGCAGTAATTACAGCTTTGAGGATTAGTTATTTCATGATAATTAAGATCATTTTCTTTTCTGAAAAAAAAAATACTGATAGAAGTGAAACATTAGCATTAAAATCCTGAAATGCAGCAAAAGTTCATTCATTGCCTTTGGTCATATGGAAGAAGCTGACAGAGAAAGCAGCAACATACTTATCTTGTTCCTTGGAAGATATTGATTTGTATTTTTAAGGACTCTGTTCCAAACACAAAGGGTAGTTTCTTTGCATGAAAAGTACCAATTTGAGCATTCACAAAGGTTGCTTCTGATTCATAAGAAAGTAATCCCAGTAGACAAAGTTGATATCTAGTTATGCAGCTGGAACACTTAAGGATAAGCCATTATTCCCCTGCCAAAGAGCACACATTTGCCTTGGCACAGCTGTCTTGTGGATGAAACACTAAGACCTACCTGTGCTTCCTGACTCTCCTCTCTTTGTCTGGTCCATTGTAGTTTTTTAATTGAACCTGCCAATTTAAGTGTCTTCCCCTCTCCCTCACCTCTGTATGCGCTACAGACTAAAGTAAATCCTACCAAATTCGCTCAAATAATGTATTTGGTACTTTCAGGAATAAATCTCCAATTTAGCAATTTCCAGACCTGCCTTTCCTTGAACAGCTGCATCATCAACTGAATTTTGTCTGAGTACAGACATGAGGCTGAGACACTCAACACCTACCACACCAGTTTCAAGCCACTGGCATCAACAGCACAGTTGCTACACTGGCTAAATGTACAACATAACAAATTTCAACTCCTAAAACTATGTTAAAAAGAGAAAATAGTTCAAGAAGAATATAATCTTTCTTGAATTATGTACTGGTCACGTCTCACACAGTAATATCTGCTTTTTTAAAGGGCTATTAGATTAAGTTTGATCATTTCATCTATACAGGCACAGAAACTTCATCACCTCAAGTTCACTTAAGAACTTCAACTCTACCAACATGCAGAGCCTGCCACAGCATAAACTATTTCTTGTAATAAAGAATAACTTCACCGAATTCACAATCTTTTCTCAACGAAAACTGGAGTTATCTCTGCATTCCACTTAAAAGATCACATGAAACCTGCTGAATGTTTCCCATTTAGTCTACGTGTTTACCAATATGAGTAAATAACTCCATTAAACGGTGGTACACACTGGTTTGACATTTGAGGTAGAAGAGGGGAAAGGTCTCAGTCTGTGTTCACGTGAGGGCTACTACTACGAAGTCCTTGTAGTATGTACGTACTTCAAAGGGGGACACAAAGTCCATTTAATAAGACAGGTATTGGCAGACACTGAAAATGAATAAAACACTTCAAGGCACATGTGGTGAAGTGAATCAAGAGCCCGTGGGCGGTTACGAACGTTCATCCAAAGATGTGTACTTCACGCGGTCACAACAGCAAGCCTGTTGTTCAGACAAACCACACGCTGCCACAACTCGTCATGGAGAAAGTGACCCATTGAATCCAAACGGGGAAGAGTTTCTTGATCTCAAAGAACTTGACCCCTTGTAAGCAACAAGTGAGAAAAATTGACCACAACAGACATGACTCTAACCTATGGTTGAAGAGATCAAGCATGGTTAGAGAGCAGGAGAAATGCCTTTTGTCCCCTCCTGCCAGGATGTAGGTTGGCAGACGATCCATGAGTTAACGTCCCAAGGTGAGTGGATCTTACTAGAGATCTCTATACCCTTATTCAAATTTGGGCCTTATCGCCAAAGATAAACCGCAGACACACAAAAAGTATCTATTGTACTTGCTGCTCCTCTAAACATACTGCTGTTCCCAAATACATTTGCAGATAATAAAGACGGTTTCACCTGCACACCGATAACCATACAAAAAGATTAAACAAGCCCAAGTCTTCTCGAGCAGAGCAGAAGGCAAATAAATGAAAAGTGGTCAAAACTGTTATTTGCTTCTGTGGTTATTTGAACTCGTAACAAATCAATGCAAGACTTCTGTGTTCAAGGCCAGGTTGGATGAGGCTCTGGGCAACCTGGTGTAGTGGAGGGTGTCCCTGCCCATGGCAGGGGGGTTGGAACTAGATGATCTTTGACATCCCTTCCAACCCAAACCATTCTATGATTCTCATTAAGTACTTTTCTTCAGATCTAGTTTCATTGAACTGTCTTCAAAGTTGTTGGCATGTGGGATCTACATTTTTGCAGGTGAAGCTTCAAGAACTGATTGACCAATTCAGTAAAGGTATCACTTCCCAAACAGAGCGCATCTTAGTTAAAACAGACTCCAGTACGTCATGTTCAGCAACAGCGCCCAAACGATCTGAACAAACACCGGCTTTGGGGACACTTTCCAATTCTCATCAGGAAGCTCCTGGCACACACACTGCAGAAACCACACGTGAAAGCAGCTTGTGACCAGGCTAAGATGTTATTCAGATGGCAAGCAATGTGTTACGCTGCGCTGGCCAGTCCCTCTGCTTATGCCAAGGCTGCGAGGCAATAGTAAAGCATTAGCATATCACATTTCTAACCTCCAGGACGTCCAACAATACCAAAGATTACTGAGCACGGGCACTGTTCAGTTTCTGTGGAACTCAATAAGTGCCCACACGGAGCTAAGAGTAACCTGAACAAAACGGCTCTCTGCCACCCAGAACCACCGTACAATTAGCACGGCATAAGAACGGCTGAGACGGATTAAACAGTGCGTGCCACGGCCCCGTTTCAGAGCGCGACAAAATACCAAGCTTCTATGCCTTACTCTACCACCCTTCCTCAAGCAGGCTGGTCTTGATGCAACTCGTCCAGACTCTAAAATACAGATAAATGCCTTGATGGCAGTGGGATGGTCGGGAAAGGAAGAGAGCATGTATAACTTGGAGTACCTAAGACAGGCTTTCAACCCTTTAAGCGTCCAGGAGCGACAAAGGCCAAATAGGATTTTTTGGTTTCATCAATGCTACACGAAACTCGATTGTGCAACGCCAAGTGAATACACAGTATACTTTATGAAAAGCCTTCTCAACATGCTAAGCCATTTTATAAAATCTAATTAGAGCTTTCTTCATTTAACTTGCAAATGCTGAAAGCAATTATCCCACTTAAGGACTAACTTACAAAACGTTTTCAAAAAGCAACACAACAGCACCGAGAGACAACACTGCCTCCTCAGAATAATTGATTTGTTCCTATACAGGAGAGAAAGGATTGGGACTCAACTCCTTAGGGTAGGGTCTGCTCAAATAACTATTTATGCCAGAATCAGCATGCATCATCTTAGCAACAGCATCCTGGCATGCTCTGCTAAGGCACAAACATGATGGCTTTCATTTTTTGTTTTGTTTTTAAATAAATGTCCTACGAACCCACTTTAATGTGAACGGGACCGCACGAAGCTAGTTCCAGCCCTCATCCCACCCTCCAGGCAAAAACTGGGGGAGCTTGGCTTCTTTTGGTTATCATAACCTTTTGCAAATAA